ATAGCGTGAGCTTCTGCTGTCAAAATAGAATTGTTATTTGGTAACCGAGAAGATATTGTTCTGGATCCAATGAAGCTATCTGTAAATAAGGATTTGTATGTATTATATTTATTTCTTAATTGATTAAATTCTTGTTTATACTGTAATTCATTTGTTTCTGATTTTTTAAATGTAGTTAACGTTTGCCAAGGCGGAGAAGAAAGAAAACGGGAAGGAGATACATTTTGCAGCTCAATGCCGGCAGCAGAAATGAATTGTTTAATTCTTAAACCAAGAGGCGGAACAAGAGAAGGCTTTTTGTTGTACAAATCCTCATAAAGAGGATTAAAGACACTATGAAATGCAGGGTTAGATTCAATAGAATAAAGTTTTGTGATATACTGCAAGGACAACTTTATACGGCGTTGTGTAAGAGATGGTTCATCTCCCTCGACGTAGAGACTGTCAACAGGAGAAGTTCTATAGGATCCAAGACAAAGTCTTAGACCTCGGTGATGAACAGAATCTAAGAGCTTTAAGTTGCCTTTGCAGGCTCCACCATATATGATGGAACCATAATCAAGTTTGGAACGGACCAATGATCGATATAGGTGTAGGAGAGTGGCTTGATCCCCTCCCCACTTAGAATTTGAAACAACTTTCAACAAGTCAAGTACCTTCAGGCATTTAGTTTTAAGGGATTTAATATGCGGCAGAAAGGTTAATTGAGAGACAAAGATTAAACCCAAGAACTTGGCTTCCTTAACAACTTTGATGGGAGAGCCATTTAGAAACAGTTCAGAGTCTTTATGTGGTTTATATTTCCGACAAAAATGTATACAATTAGTTTTAGATTTAGAAAATTTAAAACCGTTTTCAAGACACCATTTATCTATTTTGTTTAAACACAACTGCATTTGCCGTTCAATGGTATGCATATTTTTACCACGACAAGAAATGTTAAAATCATCCACAAATAACGATCCATCAATTGAATCGTTTAAAACTTTTGATAAACTATTTATCTTTATACTAAAGAGTGTGACAGACAAAAGCCTTGTGGAACACCCTGATCCTGATTGTAATGGTCAGACAGGTTAGAACCCACGCGGACTTGAAATTGTCTGTCATTTCAAAAGTTGGCTTTAATTGAGGCAAGCGGCCTCGCAATCCGAAGCCATGTAAATCTTTTAAAATGCCATATTTCCACGTAGTGTCATATGCTTTTTCTAGATCAAAAAAGATAGACACAGCGTGCTGTTTATTAATTAGAGGGTTTTTAACAAATGATTCTAAACGCACCAAGTGATCGACAGTACTTCTATTTTTACGGAAACCACATTGTATATCTGTTATTAGGTTATTGGTTTCCAAGTACCAAACAAGTCGATTATTTATCATGCGTTCCATGGTCTTGCAAACAAAGCTAGTTAGTGAAATTGGCCTATAATTGGAAGGATCAGTATGATCACGTCCAGGTTTAGGTATGGGCACAATTATAGCATCATGCCACGACGACGGAAATTATCCAGATGTCCAAATGTCATCAAAAATACGTAAAAGCGTCTCTAAACATGATTCAGGTAAGTGTTTCAGGAGTTGATAATGTATACCATCAGCTCCTGAAGCAGTATCGTGAGCTTGGTCAAGAGCAGTATGAAGCTCATGTATCGAAAAGGTGTCATTGTAGTCTTCCCCATTGTCTGAATTGAAATTAATAGATTTCTTTTCTTGCTGTCTTTGATATTTCTGGAATTCAGGAACATAGTTAGATGAGGAAGACTGTCTGGCCAAGGTTTCTCCAAGTTTTCTCCCATAATGATACAAGTTTTCAGGAGTTGGTCATATAAATTTTAAAGGTCAGTCTTCTGAAGAGTTGAAGACGGTGAGATGTACAAAGAGCATAATGTGAACGCAACATGTAACGTCAGTCGTACGGCAACCGCCTGGAGACATTTTGTTTGATAAGGATCGAAGATCCTCCAGTGGCCCGATCACCTGGAGGTGATGAATGGTATGCATTGAAATGGCGTAAATCAAATGTATCCTTGAGACAAATGGCTGATGGTGTGAAGTCCTGGACTAATAGCTGCAAATCATTGAAATTATTCCTTAGCCCTCTGCAGTTCCACTGTACAATATTATTAAAAGACATACTCTTTTGGGGGGATTTATTGGGGATCCACCCCGCACTTTTTTGAAGGGCGACAAGCTATGTGCCCTAGGATTGACGTTTTCACATACGTCCATGGCCTCAAGAGATCCATATTTATTGTATAGTTGAATTATATTTTCCGACCCTTTTGGGGCTCTGCCACTTTGTTTTTGCTTCGGTTTAGTTTTGCTTTTAACAATGTCTTGAGTATCAGATGAAGATTGAGACTGTGAACGTGACTGAGAGAATGACTTATGATCAGAAGATGACTCTGCCTGCTTTTCGGACGTACTAGGAAGTGATTCCGTAATTTGAGATGATATAGCGGCATACAAAAGCTGTGGATTGTCGCCTTTGATCCAGATGATTTGTTTGACAACTTGTGGATGATGTATATACTTAAGGGTTTGATTCAGTTGGTGTTTTGGCTATTGAAGCATAACTTTCTGTAAGTTCAGATCTCTTTATAAGTCTTTTGGCATCAGAAAAACAGATGTTCTGGATGAATTTAATCTTGTTGATCTGCAAATGTTCTTTCCAAATCGGACACTCTTCTGAGAAAGATGAATGTTCTCCTGAACAGTTCGTGCATTTTTGAAAGGTACTTGTACAATGTTCAGTTGTGTGTGTCTTCTCACCACAGTGAGCACACACAACGGATAATGTGCAAGTATTTACACGATGTCCATACTTCTGGCAGTTAAAGCATCAGCGGATTAGGAATGTAGGTGTCAACTTTAATATTGCAATAACCTGCTTTCAGTGATTTGGGAGCAGTTGGTGACGAAAACGAAAACAGATAAGGATTGGTCTGAACAGTTTCATTGTTTTTACGGATTGAAAAGCGTTTAACATAGAGTACACCTTGATCTTTCATTTCAGTCACGATGTCAAGTTCTGACATGTCAGAAAAGAATCGATCACGATCTCTGATGATACCTTTGCTTGTGCTTAATGTCTTGTGAGCAGAGACAGCAACCGGAATGCCGACAAACGATTCAGTGCTGCCGTTTCCCGCACTCAACCAGTAACGCACCTGAGCGTAACGATTTGATATTCTTAACTTCGCTGACGATACCTTGAATACCCTTGGAAACCGCAAAAGGGTTCAACTTTAAAGGTGTTTTGTCGAGAGTTTCAGTCACACGAAAGCGTGGCCAAAAGTCAATTGATTTGGACGGTCTAAGGTCATCATCATCAGGATCATTTTCAAGAGGACGTTTTGGTTTTTTTGGTGGGGGTTTCATAAGCTATAGTTAGTGTAGAGATTTCATCATCCGAGCTCCCCACCCACCAAGGAGTATCACAAGGACAATGCTAAAAACAAGCGGATCTCCGACTTGCAACACCATAGATAACCGGATGATATACTCCAGCAGAAAAATTAAAAGATTAATGATTTCACCAGATTGGCCCATGAGCCACCGCCTTCTGGGCATACGACTCTAGGCAAAAACATACATGAAATTGTGTAGTTGAAATTCTCAGTTTAAAAAAATCGCCAATATTTAAACATATAATTGTATATGTTTAAAAAAAATTGGTGCAACAGTACATAGACGTAGGAAAGGCTTGGCGTGACCAGCGGATTGATAGAACCGGGCCAGTTCTACAACCCGTCTAGGTGAAGTAAGGGGCGAAGTGGTGTGTTAGACAGAGGAATACTGTTCCTGGAACCAGTGCCCTCAAACACCAGAATCCCGTCCTCCACCGACACAGTGGCTCAACCCACGGCAAACGGGTTGGTGGACCACATTTACCCTCAGGTCCACAACGGGGGGTTGAAGAGTGCCTAGCGTTATCCTGCACCCACCACGAGGAGGTGGCTCTTCACGGGTGCTAAACGCCAAATGAACGGAAATCCCGTAGTATATTCAGAGATGAAGTAAACATGGCAAACAAGTTTGAATTCTCATTTTGTAGTGCTTATAACTATGGTCGTATGACTCAAACGAGCGATCCACATTTTCACTCATCAACATATCAATCAGTTGATTCTTCCATGTTACCAAGAAGAACAGTGTACTGAAACTTGATATAAGCTCAGTGACGGGTACACGTTCGTGATGCTCGTCTTTGGCCATAGCATTGGCATATCTAAAATCCATGTATGGTTCCCGGAAGGAACAAAATGATCATACAAAAAAGCTATCAATATATAGAGGATATTATATGAGTGCCCTGTCATACTATACTTACGACAAGAGTGCCTATATGTTGGTATTTCCTACGAGGGATATACCGATATTTAGGCACGAGTGTCGTAAACATAGTATGATATGGACATGAATATAATTATATTTTATTTATTACTGAAGTCGTCACATTAAGGAAAATATATCTAAATCTACTTTCAAAGATAGGCCCGCTACCCGCCGTCGTCGCATGTAGGACGCAATGTCATAGAAGAAATGTGACGTCATAGCATTGTTCATGACGTCACATCACCATGACAAAGTGGTATTTTGCCCTTGGGCATCGTATGATACATATGAACCCCGATGTTTTAGGTAATAAAAATTGATATACTATGGTTAAAAATCAGAGGTGTTGCGATACTATTTCCTTGTGTATACAATTCAAACCGCGCCCCACTAACAGCAGTGTGGTTCTAAAATATTCTCGCTGATTAAATGATGCCCTCTTATTGGATAAGCGTGTCTGCAGTGTAGGTGTGCCCATAATCTGAAGCAGTGCGACAAATCACAACGCGAAATATTCAAATTAACCTCCTGGATTGTCGAGGTTCAAATAGCTACCCGCACACTTTTCTCCCTATAATCGGTGTACATGCACTCTGTATGAGACATCCTGGTGACAGAGCAGGATTGGAGTCAGGCGTATCAGAGGTGTTATGGGCAGCTAGTGTAGAATAAAGATACACTTTCTCCTCTTGGTAGTACTTCTGGGGATCCTTGTCGAGTTCAGCGTCCAGTGGTCTGGGTAAGTGACTTCAATCTTAGACACCTGATACTGTCACAATGACAATCGCCGCAAACAATACCTGCCAAATAGATATATGCATTGTGATAACAAGGAAATGCTTGTTTATGTTCACTTGTATCGGATTAACGAATGTATATACTGAAAAACGAAATACAAAACACAAATTATTGGGAAAAGCGCAGAAATTTATGAAATCAGTCAAGGAATGTAGACATATTATGTAATATTTTAACGTTGGATAAGGGCGTTGCCGAACCGTCGAATACTAACGAAATAGATAATGAAGTCATGTCATGCTAGTGATTTGTCTTCATGTGAGCTTTCTGCAATGCGTTGTAAATTCCGAAGGTTTTGCATTGGTTGATTTTATATAAGAGTCAAGTATTTCTTAAAACTGTTGTTTTTGGCAAACGGTGTGTGCTTTCATTTGCACGTGGAGGTGCAGGACGGCTACAAGCAGACAGGGATGATTACATTTTGGATGATCTTGAGACACACGGTTTCATTTACCAAAGAATATTTATTATGCAATGATGACTGCTTTATCATAGTACACGTTTGAGTGATGGGTATCTTCTCGGCTTGATGGATTCATGTCTCGAGCGTCAGATCGAAAGCCACTGCTTCAAACCACTTACATAAAAACAAGTTAAATATCGGTCCTTCTTTAAAAGTATGATCCACTGTGCCAATGACAAGTCTGAGCGCAGACATCGGTATTTACATAGCAATTCTTGCTAACTGGACATCCTCTTTAGAAGAAGTTGATAACTTCATGTCACTGATAGCATTTTGCAAACCACACGGAGACTGTCAGATGTTCCTACTGAAGATGGAATGATGCTTTTATGTTATAAACTTCTGCCAAAGTCATATAAAACATGTTCATTTTGACAACCCTATTCTGAAGCTCTCAGCCACCTCTTTAAAAAAAAAACTACAGGTTTTGTAGAACTTTCAACAGGACCATCATTGATTATGTTTGTGATTTAAATAAAACTAGGTCAGGTAATCAGTACATGCTTACATGTGCGCTTCCACAAAGTTTCCAGAGGCTTTGGAAACACTACTTTAAAAACACAAAACAATGTTGTTTGAGCGTGTAATTTTGCGGCGTTGCCATGTTAACCATGCTATCAAACAGGGACCCTAGCACTGCTATGTATTGAAGAATATATTTTCACTACAAGTAGTTACTTGTTATTTTTTGGGAATGCATGTGTTGCTCCAAGCACTCCTACGCCAAACCATGTCTCAAGGTCAAAACAATCAGCTTTGTTTCTTTTCTAGTTTGAAATTCTATGTGTTATGGTTCCTAACTGCAGACAACGCTACCTGTGCAGCACCGTATATTTGGTAACATGAGACATGCAATAGACTCCCTCACTTTCTGCAAATATGCATTTCATATATTAGAACACATGTGATTTGGAATGATTCAATTGTTACCATGCATTCAAATCTTAACACAGAAACTATACTTGCTGTTTTGAAGTTTACTTACTGAGTGCATATAACTGATTCAAACATGACATCATTGCTCAATTACAAGGAAATCATCACTTTTCAAATTTCCAAAACATGATTATCCAGAAAGTGTTTGGTAAAGCCATTTGGTCAGAGTAAAATGTCTGGTGTGACCACCATGAGCATCGATAACAGGTTGGCAGCAGTGGCCCATAGAAGAAAGGAGATGCCCAATGCTGTCTTGAGGAATGTTTTGATACACTTGCTGAAGTGCTGTGTGCAGTTATTGTAGTGTCTGAGGTGGCGTTGTGTCGTTGAGCTTCTGTCAGTCTTGGCATTCTCTTGTCGTCTGTAGTGGCTTAAAGCAATGCATGTGGAGTGCCATTGATGTGGCTCAGCCTACAGTCATAGGCCTAAGCTCAGGGTGATACACAATTTCATGATGCACGTGCATTTTATGTTGGGTGCGATTTAGCGATTCACTACAGATGTGAGTGTAACGTTACGTTTTTGTTCAACGTTTCTTTTTTCAAACGTTTTGCCGTCGGCAACCATTCCTCCACATGTTGGGATTCTGCATGGATTGGTTTGTGTCAAATATGTTCCTAAAATTCAATTCTTTCCTGTGTCAAGTTTCATTTTTGAAGGATAAATATGGCCTTATATAACTCGATACCACGACAGTGTACAGGTGTTCATATCATCCGTCACTCTGCATAATGAATACATGTGGTAAAGCATCCTCCAGGTTAAAAGCCATAATTATCCATTGTTTTTGTTGCAAATCTGGCCTAATACGTTATGCTGTTGCCAGTGCCATTTGGAAGGTAGTCTTCCATGCAAGATGAGATAAGGGTGCTTTTTCGTATGTTCTTGAGCGAGTGAGTTATTATTTAACGTCACATCGGCAATATTGCAGCCATATCGTGACGAGAACATATTTGACTTTGAAGTGGAATATATGTATATTATAAAAACCTGTCGACGAAGGACAGTAAAACAACTAGAATATCTCAATTAGAATTAAAACTAGCGTGGAAAGTTTAAAACTAATAGCACTATTGGGACAATACAATATAAAAACAGGCTAGAAATCGCCAACAACAGAAGGTAGATCACCATATTAGGGACCATGGGGACTTACAGTACCTTTGCTACCTGCATGGACCCTAGCTAGATTTGCAACATCCCTTCAGCCGCTGGCGATTGTAGGAAAATTTAGCCGGAAGTTACAGAACAAAAATACTACGATTAAAATGTGGTAAATTTACATCTTACTTTGAAAGGTTTGGGACTTCCGTACGCTCTAAGGAGGACACTGATTTTACAGTACTTTAACCCCCTTTGAAGGTACAGCCACTAACAATCTAAGTTACTCATCTAAACTACCAATAATAAAATACATATCTATTTACAAACTATTCATCAACATTTATCTGGTAATTCTATTCCTTTTAAAAGTTCAATGATTAAATGATAATTAGCACTAAAAAGATCCTTCACTGTTTGGACATTAACATATTTATCACTTGTGATGGCAAAATCAATACAGTCAAGCAAGATATGCTTGACTGTTATTCTTTCATCACAAGGGATACAAAACGGAGGATCCTCACCTTTTAACAGGTATTCATGAGTATACCTTGTATGGCCAATGCGACATCGTCGCATGATGACCTCTTCAAATCTGGACTGACAACCCAAGTAGGTGTAACCAATATAAGGTTATATTTCATGTAATTTATTGATACAAAATATAATACTGAATTAAGTAATAATCCATATTTGCTTCATTTCATTTGAGTATTTACAAACTTCTGGAATTTAGGCACATAAATAGAAGAGGAAGAGTGTTTAGCAAGAGTTTCACCTAGTTTATTCGCAATATCTTATTGATCAATAAGTAATTGATCTCCATGTTTAAGATGATGGACGCTAGATTTAGTACCTTTACCTTTACTTTTCTGTACCGTGCTCCATACTTTGGACATTAGCGTTCCGAAGTTATCTTGGACACATAATTTTGCCAAGATTGGCTTTTGGTCTGTTTAAAGGTACGCCGCACTTTAGCATTTAAAATTTAAAATTTGTTTAAGTTATGCACCATAGGGTGGCAACGGAAATAACGTTCTGCGTTTTTCCTTGCCTTCCTAGCTTGTTTGCACTCATCGTTAAACCAAGGTTTTCGGATATGTGGAATTGCAGAGGACTTTGGTATGCACTCATCAGCTATGATGTTCAGTTCATCGGAGGAACATTTGATAGCATCGGGAACGCCAATAAAAAGTTCAAGTTTAAGTTTTGTAGCACACAGTGTTTCATATAAAGCCCAGTTAGCCTTTTTAATATTCCGCCTTGATGATGTAGGTACAGCAGAAGGAGTTACAGGTTTTAGTATAGTAGGAAAATGGACTGACCATTCAAATTCATTTAAGAGGTCTGAATGTGTGACTGACAAGTCGAGAGCAGAATAGATTCCTGTACCAGGGTGTAAATATGTGTTGGAACCATCATTATAAAGACATAAATCATTACCATTTACCTTTAGCGTTTGTAGTTGTACTACCCCAGAGTGGGTTGTGCCCATTTAAATCTCCCATAATAATACAGGGCTTCGGGAGTTGGTCATATAGAGCTTCGGTTTTGTGAAACATTGAGGACGGAGATATATAGAGAGAGCATAATGTAAACGCAACGTGCAAAGTTAGTAGATTAGTAGTAAGTGCAACAGGGCTATGGATAACGTTCTGTTTGACTAGGATCGAAGATCCTGCAGTGGCCCTGTCACCTAGAGGTGAAAAACAATTATATGCATTGAAAGAACGCAGGGCAAAAGCATCTGTTTTTTTTTAAATAGGTCTCCTGCAGACAGAATGCTGATGGTGTTAAATCCTGGACTAAAAGTTGTAATTCACTGAAATTAGTCCTCAGACCTCTACAATTCCACTGTATAATATGATTGTGATAAACTATCTTTTGGGAGGATTTATTGGGGATCTTCCCTGCACTTTTTAGCTGGGCGACAAGCTGAGTGCCCTACAAAGGACGTTTTCGGACACGTCCATATCCTCAAGAGATCCATATTTGTTGTATAGTTGAATTTTATTTTCTGACCCTTTTGGACCTCTGCCACTGATTTTTTTTGAAGCATCTGACTGTTTACTTTTGGTTTTAACGAGACCTTGTTGAGACTTTGTTGACGACTGAGAAGATTGGTCATGATCAAGGAGTGTCTCTGATTGGGTTCGAGATGTACGAGAAGTGATGCTCCTGTTTGAGTAGATGCAGCGGGCGAGAAAAGTTGAGGAGAATCTGTTTTTACCCAAGTATAGTTTGTCTGACAACTTGCAGATACTTTAGTTACTCTAGATATTGCCTCAGTCGTTGGTCTGTCAATGGAGGCATAGCTTTCTGTCTGTTCTGAGCTTTGGGCTAATTTCTTTGCTTCTGCAAAACTAATGTTTTGCGTGAATTTTATTTTGTTGATGGCCATTTGTTGTTTCCAAACGGGGCAGTCTTTAGAGTAAGATGGGTGATTCCCTGCGCAGTTAGTGCACTTTTGACAACACTGTCACAATCTTCTGTTGTGTGTGTCTTTTCACCACAGTGAGCACACACAACAGACAATGTGCAAGTATTAACGCCATGGCCAAACTTCTGACATTTGAAGCAGCTAAGAGGGTTTGGAATGTATGACTCCACATTGAGGTTACAATAACCTGCCTTCAGTGATTTTGGTGCATTAGGAATAGAAAAGGAAAACAGATACGTGTTGGTTTTAATGGTTGTGTAGTTTTTACGGGTTTAACATAGAGTACACCCTGATCTTTCATCTCGGAGACGATATCTAATTCCGACATGTCAGCCAGCAATCGCTCACGATCTCTAACAATTCCCTTGCTCGTATTGAGGGTCTTGTGAGCCGTGACGCTGACAGGAATGCCGACAGTTTCGGTGTTCAATAGGTTGGTTGACTGTTGTCTTTTGCCACACTCGATCAACAGGACACCAGAACGTAATCTTTTAATGTTCTTCACATCGCCGGCCATTCCTTGGATACCCTTAGACACAGCAAAAGGGTTCAATTTTAATGGTGTCATATCTTTTGTCTCAAGGACAACAAAATGTGGCCAGTAATCAGTTGGTTTGGGCAGTCTGAGTTCGCCTTCTGGGCATAAGACTCTAGGCATATTTAACAATTGTTGAAATTTTGAACCAATACATATTCGGTGAAATAATTTTACCAATACCCAAAACAGGATCATTTACAAAAATCAAATTTGTGCAGTATCAAATACAAAGTACAGGGCATGGCATGACCATCCGATTGATAGAACCGGGCCCATTCAACAACCCGTCTAGGTGAAGTAAGGGGCGAAGTGGTGTGTTGGGCAAAGGAACGCTATTCCTGGAACCAGTGCCCTCAACCACCAGACTCCCGTCCTCCACCAAACACAGGGGCGCACCCCACGGCAAACGGGTTGGTGGACCAAATATACGCCCGGGTCCACAACGGGGATTGAATAGCGCTTAGCGTTACCCAACACCCACCACGAGGAGGTGGCTCTTCACGGGTAACGTATGTTCTTGAAACGGATGATGTAATCATTCATATTCCCTGTTGAGTAAAATCATGAGGACTTGAGAAATGGCAACAGCATCTTGATTGGAGTCCCGTGTATAACGTTGTCGGGATTCTTGAACATTAAATCCATACTAATAGGTACTATGACTGAGTCCATCCATTTCCATCTATACTGGTTGATCACATTCTGAACGAATCTTAGATGCAGTTGGAATCTGAATTCCATTCCCGTAGTGGGTATGGAGATTGCTGGAACTGTGATATCCAGGCACTGACCTCCTGTAAATATTTCAGCGGGGAATAAACGAGACTTGATGTGTGTCGAATATGGTCCATATGTATTTATGTAGTTTCTTGGTTGAAGTTCTGCTTTGTCTGCAAATCTCTCAGAGTCCGCTGACATTTGGAAACAGAAAAATGTCCAGATAACAATTGATTATTATGCGTTGTAGTTATATATAGATACGCTAGTAATGGCGCTGTTATAATAGTGAACAGCCACTGGTATCCTGAAACGTAGGACTTTGAACTTAAACATTCTTCCTTTGGCAGCAAATTGTAGATATTTCTTAGAGTCTGGATGGATAAGCACATGTATATATGCATCCTGCAGATCTATGGAGATAATGCAGTCCACTATAAAAATCGCTGTGTAGAGTCCTTGCTTGTGCTATCTTCTGCAGAGAAATTGTGAACGACACTTGCCGTTGAATTGTTGATCATCGTGAGGCTATAAACATAGCATAGGCCACATCTCAGGAGGTACAGACGAATGCTGTTGGTGTATGTGGTGAACCCGTCTAAATAAGGTAAACTGGGCTGCCAAGTCGGCTTAGAAAGCCTGAAAGCTTTCTCTATACTTGGGGCCATAAAGCATCATAAAGACATAAAGCCGTAAAGTGTCATATACCCGGCGATTTTGAGGGTAAGGCTTTGGTATCTGATGCACAAGAGTCTCTGACCTGCAATGACGAGCGTCGCAGGATACTTTAGAGAGGCTAGGCATTCATCCAAATCCTTCAATATCTTGGATTGAAAAGATGACTATGCGTTTCTGTCCAATATTTGAGTCTCTGCAGCAAATTCTTCTTGGTCCAGAACGCAACCCAGCAGCAATAGTTTGTGTTCCTGTTTATCGTAGGCATCTTGTACATGATCTGCTGTTCAATATGATGCAGGGTTACGGACTGTATGTTCCATGCTAGCCTTGCATGCCGTGCTGCTCGAGCTGTAATCACAAGCTGGTTGAGCTCTATGAAGACTGTATTCTCTGCAATCTGGATAGTTACGCGGATCCTGCAGACTGTGGAGTTCGTGTTAATTGTTTTGTCTCTGTGACTTGATCATATGTGGTGCTCCATAACTAGGTCCGTGTGGAGCGTGCAGCCATGTAAACGGTCAATATGGATGATTCTAAGGTGGTCAGTGCAATAAATGGGTCAGTGCAGCCAGTGTGATCCTTGACTTGCCCCTCATCTGGGTTTGCCTGTACAGTGTCATTGTTTTCAGATAAGCCACGTTCAATAACTTTTACACAAGGGCACTCAATGGTGTAACTCCTACGGACAGCGCTAGGGAAGAGTACAAGGCATTTTGGAAATAGGTGTTCAGGCTAAACCTGTGGATTAGAAACAAGTTTCAGGAAATAAGGCAATGAAATGTCAGAGAGACGTATTCATAACTCTCTGAAATTATACTTTCGGTTACAAAAACGACAATATGTTTTCACACATCAGACCATAATAAAAACACCCCTTTGTAATGTCAAAAGTATCATGAAAGAAATGGCAAGTTACATTATTGAGAATTTAAGATTGTAATTTGTTCTTTAAAGGTTTTTCAGTTGGTTTAGTCCAGAAGTTCAATGTATTAGGAAACAGCCACACAGAACTTTAATCTGAGAAAATCACATTGTCCCAGTTAAAATTTCTATGCTGTAAGCGCCAATTCAACATTCGCTTCTTTTGTTCAGGTTTCATGATTGGTGATGGAATTCCTCGACTTTTCTGCAAACCCATTGCATGCAGTTCAGTTCTAATTGTCTCCTTACATACAGCCACAGTTCCTCTATCAATCATATCCAGCCTTAAGTTTTCTAAACACCTTCGTTTATTTTTAGAAACAAGAATACCAAGCCGCCTCCTGTCACCAATAGTCAATTTTCTGGGCCTACCTGCGCCTCCCTGGTGCTCAATGCCATATCCATTTGCAATATTTTTCAAAACACGATAACAGTGGACAAAGGGATGCCTGTTCTACTTGAAATCACTTTAGCTGATCTGACGTCCTTGTTATAATACTTCAACTTCCTCTTCTCTAAATCATCCATACTGAGGATCACTGAAAATGCCGTCTGCTAGCAAGCAAACAAAGGGGGATAACTCTTCACAAACTAATGAAAAAGGATTAACGGAGTTGTCTCTCTTGAATGAAACCAAGCTCTTTATGGCTGGGAAAAGTTGTTTATACTAGAAATCCAATTAGACATATTCCTAAAATTCTCAATAATTTCTGGTCATACTATATATACCTCCTCAAATCACTCTCGCATATCTACTTCAACGTCAATGATTCAATAATCAATTTCTTAACAACATATCTAAATTAGTGTATATTTTGATTATATAAGAAGTCTTTTGCAACCTTGAAAATCAGTTTTATTCACAAAAGTTTCATGTTTATGCGCCTATTTTTTCAGGAACCTTTGTTCTCGGACAGTCTGCAGGTACAGACAAGTGACACGCTGTGCATATCGGACGTGGATGGGGTATGTGGAACCAATGCACTTTGAAACAATAATTCGTATTATAGGGTTATAGGGTGAGATATATTCTGCACATTTCTATTTTACTGGGCCTAATGCGTGACTGTATGAATGGAGCAAATGCAATCATACCATATTTCCCAGACTAGAGTAATACAAACACACACATACACACACACTCACACCTATGTATACGCTAGACACACGTGGATCTAAGCCGCAATGACTGACTGACTGACTGAGTTTAGTTTTACGCCGCTTTTAGCAATATTCCAGCAACATCACGGCGGGGGACACCAGAAATGGGCTTAACACATTGTGCCCATTGGGGAATCGAACCCGGGTCTTCGGCGTGACGAGCCAACGCTTTAACCACTACGCTACCCCACCGCCCAAGCCGCAATGAAGGTCCATATTCTTGTATATGACGTTAACCCCTTACCACACAACCACTTCATAGTGTTTATTGGAGGAAACTATGCATACTACATGTATATACATTTCAAAGTGTTCCTACAAAATGAGTCTTTAACGTTTCTTGTCATCTCAATGGATGCACAATTCAAATATCATTACTATTATTTAGTATTTAGTAGAAGTAATAACAAAAGTGGACAATTTCAGAGGTTGTAGTTTTGCATGTCGTCCATAATCATCGTCATCAATGAGATGTTCCCTCTGATTCCACTGTACAGATGCTGCTACTACAAGTGGTACCGGGTGCCGGATTATCGGACTACCTATTTCTGCTGTCCTGGCTGGTCAACCTCATCCTACCAGAACTGTAACCGACGTAAGACTGCCCCCTTTATATAATGACCTCATAACGTATTTATCACCTGGAACTTGTGACGCTTGATCTATCATATCATGATTTCAAATCGAAGTACCTACACATACAGCTCCAAACTAGTTTCTTTGCTGTTCTGTCTTATAGTCGAGATATTCAACAACCTTTGTACAATACAATGACACGTTACAGTTGTGTGAAAGGACTTGTGGAGACAATTTGATTTGTTTGCTGTTATATTTCCAGCAATCTGCAACCCTCCCTGTCAGAATGGTGGTATCTGTGTGCAACCCAACACCTGTCAGTGTAATGATGGAGCTATAGGATTAAGGTGTAACACGTGTATGTATTGTTAATGTCACATATTTAACTACGTCCTTACAAGGTTATACCCATTTCGAAGACACCTGGTAATAGTAACAGTATGGTATAGTAGTGAAACAGTAAAGTACATTTTGTACAATTGGTTGCTTGAATTCTTACACGCATAAGAAAACTACACTTTGGGGTAATCACCTCAATTGAGAAGGATATATAGTTTTGCCTGATCTATTTTTACTTTTTGTTTTATAATATTTCAGTTGTATGTAACTACCAGAGGCCTTGTTTCCCCGGGATCTGTACACCAGGCATCAGTGTCAACTGTGACTGTTCATCAGGGTTCACGTCTCCTTCAACTAGTCCGAGTGACTATTGTAGAAAATGTACTGGTTCATGATGTTTACACTATAAGCTCATGGCAATTACAAAGTCAATTAAGGACCAGTGGTATATTCCTCTCAACCATTAAATAAATGGCCATGTAACAAACAGTGAATATTTTCTTTGCTTATGACCGTTTACTATCATGCTTATCTGTGTAAAAAAAAGTCTAATAAGACTTGGATGCAGTGAGTTATGGAATGTGCGTAAACTTTGTAAATATAGTCAAAGTGGACCGATCCCATTTTCATAATAAGAACGGTTTGCGATGTGATAGTTACTAAGCGACGGAATGTCCTTGATCATACTTTTGCAGTGGAATCAACCCAGAAGCCAGAGATTTACGAGATCGGCGCCAGACTGTCGTTCTGGCATCGGGGCACCGGGATGCCAACCATGGAGAAGTATTCCCTGTACGCGGACTCCACCATGTCCACTGATGCTGACTCCCTCTGGACAAACAGGGAAAGATTCAACTGGGTGAACGTCACTGCGTCTGCCCATTACATGACGGATAATTACACTCAGCCCTTCTTCATCAAGAGATATGGCATTGGAATTGCTAAGGCAGAAGTTGACATTCACCATGAGAAGCTACTGTTGACGGGTGAGAACATTTTATGGGACTAGTAGTATACATAATGGGGTTTTGCCGCAAACTCCTCTGAGACGTTTATTTGTGGTTAATTAATCTCCCTGACCGGTTAAAACAGTGTTGTTTTTTATCCATGTAGAATCGTCGTTGAGCAGAATTTTTTTACTTAATGCAACGATGTCCATAAGTCGTGACACCAATTCCTGGCGATCCATCGTTTGGTATCCATGGGTGACATGCTTATATATAGAAATGGTGATTGAACAACCATTTCTCGATCAACCTCTAATGATGATAATATACTGTAAAGGGTAAAGGGTTTTAATAAGGAGGTAATACCATGTCACGAGGTACGACGAGCAATTCCTCTTGCACGAATCCTCCGACGGGTCCATCCTTAAGGTAATACAAATGGGGTCCGTCTTCGTTGATATCCACCCGATGGATTTGCTACGTTTTCATCGACCACACGGGGTCCTTGACACAATGTAAATCCCCTCCTTCGAATTCATCGGGCTGGTATAAATACCTCACGCTGACCCGACTTGATAGTTTTTTCTCAGTTTTCTATTTGGTAGTGCGGCCGATTCGGTTGTCACCAATTTCATTTTAATGGCTTCGACAGGTTTTTTGTTGATGAGACGCGTCACTTCATAGTTGATTGCCCTTACCGCCTGAGGTAAACGCACGACCCATTCCGTCGATCGTGTTTTGGGTGTCGTCATTTCTTTGGCGTACTGGTGTCCGAACAAGCGTTCGGCTAAGGTCCGGTTGAATCTCTCAACGATGGCTTGGCTGCGCTCCCACCATACCACGCCTGACCTTGACTTTGTGTTTGCAAAGCAGCTGCGAGAAGGACCCATTAATTCACGTCCGGGATTGACTTGTAATTCTACAGGCCACGTTAAAGGGCTTCGTTTGTAAATACGTTCCAGCGCCTTAGCCACTTGAGCCGAAACTTCTGCTGTGAGTGGTTTTGGCCTCTTTGTAGCAACTGGCCACATCCACCAGGGCATATTTGTACGTTTTGCATCTCACTTTATCATGCAGTAGAAACAAAAGGTCGGCTTGATGTACTCGATTGAGTGTTGATACATCAAACCTTCTTCTCGGGATGTATGGAGAAGCCGGCAAATAAATTTGCTATAAGGCTTGTTTTTCCAACCAAGCCTTAGCAGTCTCTTCTGAGACTTTCGCGGCTTCGGCGATATTGGGGATAATGTGCTTGCACCTTTCCAGTATCCCCGGGGGCTGTAGAACATCGTATCCATTATATCGATTTATTCATATTTATTCTTTAATAGACAAAAATGAAAACATTTTTTCAAATTTTCATACTGTGAGTCGATTACGTTCGTTAAGATCATCTTTTTTTCTTGTCATAAATAATTTGGTTTCGGACCACATCTGCTCTGTGGGCTTTGCACAAATCATAATGCCATTTCACTCCAATACCGCATACCGAACATGAGTAGTTTATGCATCCCTTTCATACTTAGACATCATGTGTATGTCGCAGTATTCGGCCACGCATTTCCTGTCACAGGTTTCTGCTTTTCCAAGAAGCACGTAGTTGCAATGATACGGAGCGGGTCTCATCTTCGCTGCACCTGGATATACGTTAGTCTAATTGCTTGGCGATTAAGGCTGTCGTGGAGAAACCTAAAACCATGAAGATCAGCTCGCAGTTTTTCTGATTTGGAGAAGGTGTGTAATATTCCAATAGGTTGGGTTGATCTCCAAGGGTCCCCATTGTTTTCCCGTGACGAGATAATACTCGTTTATGTCCTGAAACGTTCGTACTGCGTGCCCTTCTCGTTGGAGTTGATCGTGAATAAAATCCATTCTTCGCATTCGTTTTTCGTGTATTATGCTTGCTTGGCTTGTAATTTCTCCACGGCTAAATCGTGACGTTTCCGTTCCGCCTCTGTTTTGACTGCATTAGTTATTCGTAAATAAGAAAAATGGTAGTAGTGCTACTCAAAAAGGCGAGGGCATTGGCTAAAGCCCTGCCGACAAACAAAGCAATCGTGGCCCTTTTTTATGTTTATAATGGCTATTTACTTCAATATGTTTTCGGGGATGATGCCTTGCTTGATGAGCATATCTTTGGTGGCCATCGCTAGTCCCAAATCCAGGACCACCATGCCCATGTCGTACGCATTGAAATGGAGTCTGGGAGTGCCTCGTTTGGTGATCATTTTACTTAATCGTGCATAGCCTATGGTTAAGCCAGTGACCACAACGTATTGATATGCGTGGTTGACAAATTTATTTCCATCGGTGGTGGACATGATTATAACATAAAATGCCATGGCGTACAGAATCTACGGCCGATTATTCATCAATTTATTATGATGCTAAGCTAACCTGCCTTTTTTACCAGCGGCTACTTTTTTAGGGTGCTTTTTTATGTTTCTGCATGACATTATCAATCAATACTTGGGGGGTTGTCTCCTCCACCTCCAAAGAAGGTGGAATCAATTCGAGGTTCGCCTCCGTCATCTTGTATATCATTTGGAAAACATTTATGGTTAAAACGGCAATGCTTTGCCGTGGTGATCGCTGCGGTTTTTGGAGCGAGCAACATCCCGTATCCATGATAGAGTTCACAACTGATCCTACTCAAAGCGTGTCTTATGAACAGATGATCCATGGACAACACTTTTTTAACCGGTCAGGGAGCTCAATAAACCACAAATAAACCTCTCAGAGGAATTTGCGGCAAAACCTCCATTATGTATACTACTGGTACTAGTAAAAATATCTGAATGACAGGATAATGGCGGAATTAAACAGAAGCATAAATTTTGTCAGGAATTATAACATTTAACTTTCTACAAATTTTATTTATCATACCAGATATGTGTGAATCACGCCAGATCTGCAATACGAAGTGACTGTTGGGACAGAAGTTAGAGAACCATCTTAATATGATTGGAACCATCGTTTTCACGCCATGCTAACCCTTGATTCTATGCCATGAATTTCGAAATAATTCTCAACGAGTAACATCTGGTGCTATTCAACATGTAGAGGAATTATACATAACTTGGTGTACTCAGAGAAATTGAATCTGTTGATTGTAAAGGCATAACCAGGTTAGTTCTCTACTATCGGCCCTACTTCTGGAATCAGCACAAACTATCATGATTATGTCTCAGGAAGATCAATACACTTATCAGATATGAAAACATCTTCATAATCAGCACCATTAGTGCAGTTCATTCGAAACGCGTCTATATATCCGACCCGATAACAATGCATATTATAATGCATCCATTCATTTGTGAACGTAGAGAAAGTTGCACCATTGTTCAAAGTTGATCGTATCTTACATTTTGCCTCTAGGGTCAACCCCGATTGTCAGTCTTGACACAACGCTGCCCTGCACACCGACTGTGTCTTACCTCAACCCCACCTCCGACACCTACTACTGTGACATAACCAAACGGGACTACGACATATTTCTGGAAAATGAAGATACGTAAGATGTTTTCCTCGTCTGTAACACGTGTTATATTATAAAATATTCTTTCTTAGTGATATACTGATTTTAGGAATTGTGTGGAGCCACGGTGTTGAAAGTCGATAGTGTGATAGTGTGGGTGCGAATCCCGAATGGGGCTCAATACAATTGTACAATAACCTGTACTTTACTCAGAAGGGTTAGTCCCAATATCACACATGTCATTTGGTCACTTTCTAGAAGGCACTGTGTATTCATGTTTTTATCTTATCAATAAACAACCTCTCCTTGCTCCTTTGTATACTTGTAAATCTCAATCTACAAAGCTACTTTTAGGATGATACAGCACTTAGTTTGGATATCTATCATGGTTTATTTTTGAGAAATAAGTGTCGGCATTGTCACATGTTCGTCGTATGGAATGTCCAACAATGAGATTATTCGGGTAAAAATGCAGCAATTTTGTTATCATTGTCCTGCACAGAACAATCGAACTCTAAACTCAAGATATATTATTCTGTGCCAAAACTGATCACTTGCTCAACCGCAGGATCATATCATAAAAGCGCAACAACTTTGTCATGAATATCAAAGATGTGAAACCAGGTTTGACCATATATAATGTGATATTAAATGATGTTTATGACGTTGAGAAATATATTGCTAGATACAAATCTCAGTATTGATTCATTTAAGAGAAAATGGAATGTTCTTGAGAATGTGCTGTGATTGTTCGTGACAGTGAATTATTTCTTCTCTTTCAGCCTCTTTTATACACCATTATTCCCACTGCAAATCCTAACAAAGAGATGTCATTCACTTTTTTGTTCCATTATGAAATCATGTCTGCAAAATGTATCAAGCAACGATGATTTTATCCAAATGAAGTGAATAATAAACTCATGGTTCATTCAATCCTTCGTGTGCTCATGAGTGGTTCATTTAATTACACATGTGCCGTTCCTTCCAGTATTCGTGCGCACAGGTTTGGTTCATTTGTGCTGGTGCTGTTTGTAAACTGCAACTATGTCTTGAAAACATCTGCCATAGTCCCATCTGTATATAAAGACTGTATATCACTTTGATCAGCAGAAGGAATAAGAGAAATCGTGTCTGTATTATGGAATCCACACTGTGTACAATTATGGTAGGGACTCGATGCTTTAATTGAAAAGAATATCATCATAGTAAATGTGCCGAATGCATATAATAATATATCTTAATACTTTTGCTAGAAATACCGAGATAAAAAATAAACTCATTGGCCAAAGAAAGTATAGGACTGGAAAAAATATTTCACTGTCATTGACATGGTTATGAGAATTAGACATGCTGGCAATGTTGGCCCCACCACTGGGAAGGGAAATACACCGCCAAAACGCAACACGTTCGAACAGTGAGAGTGATGACGTCACAAATGTAGAAAGGATGGTCCATGCTCCTAGCACACAATGCACGTACAAAGTTTCGGTATAAATGCAATGCATCGGCCCCGTCATATCACAGCTGCTGAAAACACATGAAAAGGATACCACAACTGCCGGCAGAACAGAGAGAGAGGGCCATAGGGATGTCCGATATGGGAGCGACGAATGTCAGAATTGCAAGGAGATTTGGTTGTACACCACTGACGATAGCAAGACTCCTCGAACGATTCAGATTGACAGGTCGAACACAGGACAGGCCGAGGAGTGGACGTCCACGTGTAACCAGCGCACGTGAAGATCACCATATACACCTGATACACCTCTTAAATCGATTTGTTACAGCAACGTTAACGGCAGAAACAGCGTTGGGACGTCGCATCAGTCGAAGGACTGTCCTCAGACGTTTGCGAGCAGGTGGAATACGTTGCTATCGATCATTCCGTGGAATGAGACTAACTCAACAACATCGACTTGAAAGACTGCAATGGGCAAGACGAGTATACCACTGACAAGGGCGTGATTGGCGTAGGGTCTTCTTCACCGATGAAAGTCGGGTTTGTCTGCACAAAAATGACAACCGAGAGAGAGTTTACAGGCGACGTGAACGTTTTGCAGCAGCATGCATTCAAGAAATCCATGCCTATGGTGGAGGTGGTGTGATGGTATGGGCTGGCATTATTGGCGACCAAACGACACCCTTGGTCGTTATTCAGGGGACTATCAATGCTAATGAGTACCGAAATCAAGTCTTGCAGTCTTTTGACTTACCTTTCTTGAACAATTAACCAAATGATGTATTGTTTCAGCAAGACAATGCAACTCCCCATACAGCAATAGCGACGAGAAACTATCTTATCAGAATAACGTTAATGTTCTACCCTGGCCTTCTCCATCACCAGATATGAATCCGATCGAGCATTTGAAGGATCATTTGGGAAGACAAATTCGTGGTCGTCAATATCCCCTCAGACAAGACAAGAGTTGGAAGTGGCACTGAGGGACGAATGGCAGCAACTGCGAAATGCCGTCATCCGACACTTGACGTAATCGATGCGACGACGTGCACGAGCGTGCATCGAGGCTGATGGCGGACACACACGCTACTGACGTTGTGATCGTTCTGGAACAAACTTCTCTGTCTTTTGTAAGGAATATCATTGTAACTTTGATATTTACCCCCTGACTGTTTGAATGTCAATGGGCACCCATGAAGGGCCACCTCCTTACGGTGGGTGCTGGGTCATGCTAAGCGCCCTTCAACCCTCCGTTGTGGACCCGGGCGTATATTTGGTCCACCAACCCGTTTGCCGTGGGTTGCGCCCCTGTGTCGGTGGAGGAAGGTAGTCTGGTGGTTGAGGGCACTGGTTCCAGGAACAGTGTTCCTTTGTCCAACACACCACTTCGGCCCTGACTTCACCTAGACGGGTGGTAGAACTGGCCCGGTTCTATCAATCGGCTGGTCACGCCAAGCCCTGTGTATAGACTATATATATATATATGTCATTGCACAAATTTGATTTGGAATTGTTTGAATTTCGGGCTTACTTGTTTATCTAAAACGTTTGTGGTTTTGAATTATTATGTTATGAACTTTGCCTAGAGTCTTATGCCCAGAAGGCGGTGGCTCATGGGCCAATCTGGTGGAATTATTAATCTTTTAATTCTTCTGCTGGAGTATATCATCCGGGTATCCTTGGTGCTGCAAGTTGGAAATCCACTTGTTTTTAGCATTGTCCTTGTGATACTCCGTGGTGGGTGGGGAGCTCGGATGACGAACCTTGAAAAATTAACCATGGCTTACGAAACCCCATAAAAAACAAACGTCCACTAGACACTGATCCAGTTGATACTGATCAAAGACTGTCCACGTCCATTGAATACTGGCCACGATTTCTTGTCATTGAAACTGTTGATAAGACTCCATTGAAGTTGAACCCCTTTGCGATATCTTAGGGTATACAGGGCATTGCTGGTGATGTCAAGAATATTAAACGTTTACGTTCCGGTGCTCTGTTGGTGGAGTGTGGGAAAAGGCACCAAGCCACCAACCTCATGGGTTCAGAATCGTTTGTCAACGTCCCGGTCACCGTCACGGCTCATAAAACTTTAAACACGAGCAAGGGAATCATCAGAGACCGTGATCGATTGTTTGCAGATATGTCTGAACTTGACATCGTCTCTGAGATGAAAGAACAAGGCGTACTCTATGTCAAACGTTTCACGACCAGGAAAAATGATACTGTTATCAAAACAAATACCTACCCGTTTTCATTTTCTTCACCAAATGCTCCAAAATCTCTAAAGGCAGGATATTGTAACATCAATATTGACACGTACATTCCGAACCCTCTACGGTGCTTCAAATGTCAAAAGTTCGGTCATGGCGTAAATACTTGCACATTATCTGTTGTATGTGCTCACTGTGGTGAAACGACACATACAACAGAAGATTGTGACAGTAATGTCAAAAAATGTACCAACTGTGAAGGGGATCATCCATCTTACTCTAAAAACTGTCCTGTTTGAAAACATCAAATGGAGAAAAATAGAATCAAATTTGCCCAAAACATTAGTTTTGCCGATGCAAAAAAGCTAGTTCAAAGTTCAGAGCATAAGGAGAGTTATGCTTCTATCACCAGAACACCGTCAGAAGCAACCACTAGAATAACAAAGTCAACTGCATGCTGTCAGACAAACCTGACCTGGGTTAAATCCGAATCTCCTGTGCTATTCTCACCTGCAATATCGACCCAAACAACTGAATCAGTTCCTAGTACGTCTCAAAGCCAATGTGAAACATCCTCTGATCTTGACGCATCATCTCAGTCGACATCAAAGTCTACACAGCCCCTTAAAGGCAAAGGTAAGAAGCCAGATTCTTTCAAAAAATTCAGTGGCAGAGCCCCAAAAGGGTCAGAAAATCAAATCAACTTGTATAACAAATATAGTTCCCTTGAGGACATGGATGTGTCCGAAACTGTCCATTCTAGGGCGCACAGTATGTCGCCCAACAAGAAAGTACGGGGAAGATCCCCAATAAATCCCCCCAAAAGATAGTTTATCACAATCATATTATACAGTGGAATTGTAGAGGACTGAGGACTAATTTCAGTGAATTACAACTTTTAGTCCAGGATTTAACTCCATCAGCATTCTGTCTGCAGGAGACCTATTTAAAAAAACAGATGCTTTTGCCCTGCGTTCTTTCAATGCATATCATTATTTTTCACCTCCGGGTGATAAGGCTACTGGAGGATCTTCAATCCTAGTCAGACAGAACATTATCCATAGCCCTGTTGCTCTTACTACTAATCTTCAGGCTGTTGCAGTGCGACTAACTTTGCACGTTGCGTTTACATTATGCTCTCTCTACATATCTCCGTCTTCAACGTTTCACAAAACTGATCTTCAAGCTCTATATGACCAACTCCCGAAGCCCTGTATTATTATGGGAGATTTAAATGGGCACAACCCACTCTGGGGTAGTGCAAATACAAACGCTAAAGGTAAATTACTGGAGGAGTTTTGTTCAGATAATGATTTATGTCTTTATAATGATGGTTCCAACACATATTTACACCCTGGTACAGGAACTTATTCTGCTCTCGACTTGTCACTCACTAATTCAGAACTACTAAATGAATTTGAATGGTCAGTTCACGATGACCTATGTGGAAGTGACCATTTCCCTACCATACTAAAACCTGTAACTCCATCTGATGTACCTCCATCATCAAGGCGGAATTTTAAAAAGGCTAACTGGGCCTTATATGAAACACTGTGTGCTACAAAACTGAAACCTGAACTTTTTAGCGACGTTACGGATGCTATTAACTGTTTTACCGATCACCTGAGTACCATAGCTGATGAGTGTATACCACAGTCCTCTGCAAATCCACATATCCGAAAACCATGGTTCAACGATGAGTGCAAACAAGCTAGGAAGGCATCCTATGGTGCATTATTTAAATAAATTTAAAATGTTAAATGCTAAAGCGCGGCGTACCTTAAACAGAATAAACGCCAATCTTGGCAAAATTATGTATCCAAGATAAATTCTCGAACGCCCATGTCCAAGGTTTTGAACATGGTCCAGAAAATTAAAGGTAAAGGTACTAAATCTAGTGTCCATCATCTTAAACATGGAGATCAATCACTTACAAATAAATCAGATATTGCGAATAAACTGGGTGAAACTCTCGCCAAACACTCTTCCTCTTCTAATTATTTGCCTAAATTCCAACAATATCAAAAAACAAGAAGAAAAGAAAACTATTAATTTCAATTCGGATAATGGGGAAGATTATAATGAAACATTTTCTATTCATGAACTCCATACTGCTCTTGAGCAAGCTCACGATACTGCTACAGGTGCAGATAACATACATTATCAGCTCCTGAAAGACTTACCAGAGTCATCTTTAGAGACGCTCTTACACATTTTTGATGATATTTGGACGTCAGGGAAATTTCCTTCCTCATGGCGTGACGCTATAGTAGTACCAATACCTAAGCCTGGACGTGATCATACGGATCCGTCTAATTATCGACCGATTTCACTAACAAGCTGTGTTTGCAAAACCATGGAACGCATGATAAATAATCGACTTGTTTGGTACTTGGAAACTAATAACCTTATAACAGATATACAATGTGGTTTCCGTACAAACAGAAGTACTGTCGACCACCTAGTGCGTTTGGAATCATTTGTTAAAAATGCACTAATTAATAAACAACACGCTGTGTCTATCTTTTTTGATTTTGAAAAAGCATATGACACTACGTGGAAATATGGCATATTAAAAGATTTACATGGCTTCGGATTGCAAGGCCGTTTGCCTCAATTTATAGCTAACTTTTTAAACGACAGACAATTTCAAGTACGCGTGGGTTCTACCCTGTCTGATCATTACAATCAGGATCAGGGTGTTCCACAAGGCAGTATTTTGTCTGTTACCTTATTTAGTATCAAGATCAACAGTTTATCCAAGGTTTTAAATGATTCAATCGATGGATCACTTTTTGTGGATGATTTTAACATTTCTTGTCGTGGTAAAAATATGCATACTATTGAACGGCAACTGCAGTTGTGTTTAAACAAGATAAATAAATGGTGTCTTGAAAACAGCTTTAAATTTTCTAAATCCAAAACTAATTGTATTCATTTCTGCCGTAAATACAAACCGCATAAAGACCCTGAACTATCTTTAAATGGCACACCCATCAAAGTTGTGAAGGAAGCCAAGTTCTTGGGTTTAATTTTTGACTCCCATTTAACCTTTCTTCCGCATATTAAATCTAAAACTAAATGCCTGAAGGCACTTGACTTGTTGAAAGTTGTTTCCAACTCAAAGTGGGGAGGGGATCAAACTACATTCCTCCACCTATATCGCTCATTGGTCCGCTCGAAACTTGTTTATGGCTCCATCGTGTATGGTGGAGCCTGCAAAAGCAACCTAAACCTACTTGATTCTGTCCACCACCAAGGTCTGAGACTTTGTCTTGGGTCCTTTCGAACTTCTCCTGTTGACAGTCTCTACGTCGAGGCTGATGAGCCATCTCTTACACAACGCCATATAAAATTAACTTTACAGTATATTACAAAACTTTATTCCAATGAGTCAAACCCTGCAACTGTGTCTTTACTCCACAATATGAAGATCTGTATAACAAGAAGCCTTCTCTTGTTCCGCCTCTTGGTATAAGAGTGCAACCTTTCCTTTCTGCTGCTGGCATTGAGCTAGAACATATAGCTCCTTCCCGTTTTCTTTCTTCTCCGCCTTGGCAATTGGTTAGGCCACAAGTTGACCTAACATTCACTACATTTAAAAAATCAGAAACAAATGAATTACAGTATAAACAAGAATTTAATCAATTAAGAAATAAATATAATACATACAAATCCTTGTTTACAGATGGGTCCAAGGATGGTGGCGCAGTGGCCACATGCCACTGTTATTGGATCCCGAACAATATCTTCTAGAATACCGGATAACAGCTCTATATTTACAGCAGAAGCAAACGCCATCTTAACAGCTCTTAAATATATTCAAAGACATCCCAAACATAAACAATATATAATATTTTCTGACTCTCTTTCTTGCCTTCAGGCTATTAACAATCTCTCTTGCAAACATCCACTTTTAATTGAAATAATCGAATTATATAATGATCTTGCTACTGGCCAATGCGACATCGTCTTTTGTTGGTTACCCAGCCACGTTGGCATTTCTGGGAACACGATGGCTGATATTGCTGCTAAGGCAGCCCTCAACAAATCTGTGACACCACTTCTTATCCCATACTCTGATTATAAAGCCAGCACTAGAACATACATCCGCGATCTAATGCAAAAGAAGTGGGACACCCAAGTAGGTATTAATAAATTACATGCAATAAAACCCTACATTGGTTACACCTACTTGGGTTGTCAGTCCAGATTTGAAGAGGTCATTATGACGATGTCGCATTGGCCATACCAGATATACTCATGAATATTTATTGAAAGGCTAAGATCCTCCGTTTTGTATCCCTTGTGATGAAAGGATCACAGTCAAGCATGTCTTGCTTGACTGCATTGAATATTCCATCACAAGGGATATCTATTTCAAATCCAAAACTCTGAAGGATCTTTTAATAATGTCAGTTCTCATTTAATTATTGCATTTTAAAAAAAAATTAGATTTGTTGAGTGATTTGTAAATAGACATATATTTTATTATTGGTAGTTTAGATTAGCAACTGAGATTGTTAGTGGCTGTATCCTCAAAGGGGGTTAAAGTATTGTAAAATTATTGTCCTCCTGAGAGGGTACGTAAGTCCCAAAACATTTAGTCAATCTAAGTGTACCTGCTTTTTAATCGTAGAATAAGTGTGTTTTTAATTTATGGCTAGATTTCTCTTCTGTCGCCAATGGCTGAAGGGATGGTGTAAATCCAACTAGGGTCCATGCAGGTAGCAAAAGTAATGTAAGTCCCCATGGCTCCTAGTATGGTGATCTACCTTCAGTTGTTGGCGATCTATAGCCCATTTTTATATTATGTTGTCCCCTATAGTTACTATGTTTTAGATTCAATTACTAGTTTTACATATATATCTGTGATACTCTAGTTGCTTTACTGTCCTTTGTCGGCAGGTTTTTATAATGTCTATATATATATATATATATTCTTTTTCAATATCAAATGTTCTCGTCACGATATGGCTGAAATATTGCCGATGTGACGTTAAATATTAACTCACTCACTCACTCACTCACTCACTTGAATGTCAATGTCACCTTTCAGTTCTTTCAACCAAGTGATGATTTGTGAACACAGCAAAGTGCAAATGAATTTGCTACAAATTACATCTATTACATAATCCAAATCTTGTGTTGTTTCTGTTTTGATGATCTTCAAAATGACCTATACTTTCTTTTGCCCATGAGTTTAGTACGACCAGGAAAAGCAAGGGCTACATACGTATCTTTTCCTCTCCACTTCAGACTTATTCTAACATTCAAGGCCTGGAACGGGGGTTACCGGGAACTCCAGGAATTAACTTCTTCTGGCCTGAGAAACAGAGGGAACCAGACGTACACGGGACATATGGTAAACCAGTCTATGCAGTTCCGTTTTGACTTCAAGAAACCAACCCACAGCTGCCTGGGTCAAGGGTCTTCCTGTTCAGGTGAACCGTTTTCAATGACGCAAGATGTGACAAAGGTAAACATCATTACATGTGAAAAAGATACCATGATCAGTATGTGTAAGGAATAGGAACTGTATTGGCATCCCTGTCATTGGCATGGAACATTCTGTTTCGACATAGCATATGGAAACAACTGACCTGGGATAGCGTTTCCTCAAGATGTACATGTTGGAGTGATACACTGTCATCGTATTATGTCCGCAAGTCATCATCTAAAAGCGCATGTTGTGTCCTCTAAATCGCCTTCATGCTAAAATCACAGGATCTCTAAAGGGTGCTTGAATATGTCGTCAAAATGAACACATAGTTTTATTTCATGAATCCTGAGCACACATTCAACACCGTATTTTACTCAAAGCCGCAGAGAAACAACACACTGTGTATCGTGTCTTATAAGGAGCAATGAAGCGTCTCAACGCTAAATTCTGATATCGCTTATACAATTAGGTTTCCTTAATCATTATTTCCTCATAAATAATTTCACAATATTTCTCTCTGATCCTCACTAAATGTCGGACAACATTATAATATTCTAAAGTGAAGCTTAACTGCATATGTTATGGAAACCCAAAGCAATATCCTATTGATATCAGCTTCAAACAGGCACAGTGTTACACTTTCACTTTCAGTATCCAATCAATCTCCGCTGGTCCAACTGGAATGATGTTCTTTCTGGCATGTACCGCTATGCCTGGGAGGTATTTAAACTACAGGTGGATGGGAACCAGGTTCTGAAGGAGTATGAACCCTTGAATCCCATATATGGACCTGTTGAAGTCAATCAGTCGTCATCTGCCTCCAACTCCTTCCAAGCCATCTACACACCAACTGCTCCTGGAGTGTACTCCTTCATCCTGGAGGCCTCGGACAAGGCAAATAACTCTGTCTTTGTCAGGAGAATCGCCATATACGACCCCGTGTCCAGTGTTACTATAGATACAGGGGCAGAAAACCGTCTATACATATCTTCGGCGGATCCTAATGGCGGGTACAACTGGCAAGATGATCCATCTAGAGAAATCAAGGTCACGTGGACCAACCACTTTGTCAACCTGATGCACGAGCAGGGCAAGTGGTTGAACCAAGTCCTCGCCTACCCCCCACAGCTTGAGAACTTCTTGAAGAACATCCCCAGAGAGTCCGGACAGGATGACCACGAAGGAAACAGGACAGTAGACGCAATACAAAACAAGAGAGGTGTTGTCAAGTTTGAGATAGCTTATGCGAAGGACAGCAACGCCGGTGTGAATCAGGTGGAACCAGCCACAGGCTGGACTGATGTTGGACTCAGTGAAACATATACCATACCTCCAGGTAACGTGTTAGTTATTATGCAACGTATGTCATATTCGGGATTACACTTACTGTCATGAATATTATTGCAACAGAACTCGACATACTGGTATCTTATAATGGAGTAAATCCTGAATCCGCTGGCTCAGTAAATCTATTTATTCACATCACGTGACTACCCTTTTTGTTCTAAAATTATGAATATTCGTTTGTGATTGGTAGGTTCACACCTATATCTACTGACGAAGAGCGACACGGTGACAGTTTGGGTGAGAGCTACAGACGTCCTAGGCAACACCTTGGTAGATTCGACCAGGGTACATTTTGATGATACACCGCCTGAAGTCGAGCAGCCTGTGTTCAGGATGAACGTCCAGTCGAACAATATTTCATTCAGTTCAACGTAAGTAGTCGTATATATATAATGTGTTAAAACATACGGATGTTAGTTAGTTCATCAGTTCGTCACCTGGGTTTTTTTTCTGGTAATCGGGCTGAGCTTCAACTTTGAGAATACCGGTTATTTGTAAATGTTACTGGTCAAGTGATCACGCCTTTCATTGTGCGCGAGACCTTGCATCCAAATAACCAATCAGAAATGTAGAGGGTATCGCAATGCGTCAATGCCTGGGAGTTTCCATAAAACTGCTATTTGTTATTTGACAACACCTCGATGGCATTGTGAAAATGATTCTTTTCTTTTTCGAGGAGTAACAAAATTGACAGAGGTAATTAGAAAACTGATTTTAACATTTATCTGGACACATGACTGACAGGTTTTGAAATTACCGGAGATTCTTACTTTGCACCTGTCAAAGTCCGGTATATAACCAGATAACGGTAACATTGTAAATCGAATTTACTTTTTAATGTAAAGTAACAGATAATTTTAAGATTCGTTCCCATTCCGGTGGGAATACTTGATAAAGATTCAATTATCATTTGATATTCCATGAAGTTCGTTTTGATAGTCGATGAATAGCACTACGTCGATGTTACTTTTTTGTCTCATCGCCTGAAATAAAAATAACCAACAACGTCTCACTTCTTTGATTCTAGTGTTGAAGTAAACGTTCGGGACATGCAGAGCGGTATGAAACGTGTGGACCTCTTCATCTGGAAAACTGACAGCAACGTGGCGATTGTTAATGAAACGTTGCCTCTGACGACCGTAGATGTAAGTGACCATAGATCCTGTGAATCGATAGACAGTTTTTTGTTTTCTTTGTTCATTTCCATGAACCATATGATTTCACCTTTTTCAACAGTACTGTGCGGGTTTTTCAACGTGTTACTGTACCACCGTCAATCCAGTCTGCTTCAACAAGAAGCAGCTCCTGCCCATTAGAAACTGCTGGTTGACGCACCCAATGCTGGAAGGAAAGACGGTGACAATGGAAATGAACTTCGTGAACATGGCCGGACTTCATACAACAAAGAGTTTCACTGTGAGTGTGGATATCAGCTTAATACTGCTGCCAATGACTTCTGCAAACAAGAACGGTGTTCATATAGGTATACATATATTAAATAACGTTTTCGTAAGATCCAGTGTCAATTTATTCAATTTATGATATGTTCAAAGTTTTTTTAACGTTGCACTTTTATTATAATAGGTGGACAGTCCAGAGGCACTGACTGGAACACAGGGATGTAAGTAGGGTATTAATGTACGTCTGTCATTTCCAGGTTACACACAACGTGTAAAGAATCCATGTGTGAACCATTACCTCATAACTTGCCAAACCGGTCGTCTAGGTAACTTATGGTACCTATGAACATGCAATATTCTATTCTGATCTACTTCTGTGTTTGCTCTGCACGTCTTTGTGACGGGTGCCACTCCTGGAGAGGAATACGACCCCCGCTCCTTATAGCGTTATTACATTGCCATTCCAACTCACTCTTAAGATATGGTCGTAGTCGGACTATGGCGTTTGAAAATCATTCTCGTCATTATGGAACTATACCAGTAAACAAATGTAGGGGCTATTCAATAATGAGGTCACAACTACTGATATTGTATATCTTTAATGAGATAAACAGCTTAACAGACTAACAGGTATATCTCACTGAGATGTGCAACAGTCGTCGAACGTCAGATGACCATATATTGTTTTAGATGATTGTCGCTTACCATGAGAAGTTATCAATATCACGTTAATAAGCCTCTAAGACATCGGTGATTGTGTCGTACGCGCCGTTCAAGGATATCGATGCGTTGTAAATAAGGTGAGAACATGTAAAAGTGTTCTGCCAGTCATAGTGATCCCAGCTCAACGAGGGAAAGATCTTTCTGTCTAATGAAAACGGTCATTCACTCAACACGACACTGTTACGCCTGTCAAGAAAATCCGAAGCAAACCTTGCTTCATCCGAAAAACATAACGCTTGCCCCACGAGGATTGGTCCAGCGCTACCGCTCTTTACACCAACGACAACGTTCAGTAATGTGACGGTCCGTCGATCGTGCATTACCACATAGATGTCGGACAGGCAGGTTCAATATCTGCTGTGACTTATTCGTCTGTCTACTCACTCTAATACCTGTAGCTTTGTAGAGAGCATCTATCGTAACATATCCGTTCATAAGAAACGGTCTTGTGTGTCAGTTGTCGAAGGGATCGACATGTGTTATTGACGTTCTTTTCTATTGGTATCATCATTGTAATCTGATAATTACGGACTCTGAAACGTGCAACAATGCTCTGACTTGTGCCAAATTCCGACATACACAATACCGTTCCTGACATGACAGACGCTGCATGTCAAGAAACGTTTAGTCACAACAACTAGTCTGTTTTGTTAATTGACACGCTTCACTAAAATTTCGATTTTTAAGCTGACCATTTTCAGGTGCGCATTATGGAAAAAAACCGTGTTTGCACTAAATACTTAATGCTTACCGGTGAATTATTTTATATATTCATATACCATCATACAACTTTGTTCCCAAATAATAATATAACTAAATCTGAAGTACCCCCACTAAAAAAGCACATTTACATGTACATAAAGCATATAGCACAGAATTAGTGCAATGACCTGGATTCGTGGTGGTTCCAGTATCAAAACCATACATTACTTATCTCTACTTTGTTTGCATCAGCGCTAGCACCTGTAAACGTGACTGTCATCAGCAAGGACACCAACCAAGTGACCCTGGCGTGGAAACACGCCCTCACCTGCTACCGCCGGACAGAGATGTGGATCAGCTATGAGTCAAATGGACGGACGGAAATAAGACTACTGCACAGGACAGCGACCACCCACACTCTGGTCGGCCTCCAGCCGGACACAGAATACAGCATTGTAGTCATATCCCAGTATGTGGATTATAAGAGCAGGGCTGTCCCATTGACCGTCAAAACAGGTTTGTTTGTATGTTGTTTAACGCCGCACAATATTCCAGATATATGGCGGCGGTCTGTATGTAATAGAATGGGAACCAGGCAATCCAGTGTTCAACATCATGAGCATCGATCTACGGAATTGGGATACGATGACATGTGTCTTTCAAGTCAGTGAGTCTAACCACCCGATCCCGTGACGGCCGTTAGTCGACTCTTATGACAAGCATGGGTTGCTGAAGACCAATTCTAACCTGGGGCAACACAATATTTATTAACAGGGATTGAATGTACATATGTAGTAGTAGTAGTAGTAGTAGTAGTAGTAGTAGTAGTAGTAGTAGTAGTAGTAGTAGTAGTAGTAGTAGTAGTAGTAGTAGTAGTAGTTGTTGTTGTAGTAGTTCACATTATGTTGGCTAGTTCTGCTCATTTATGTCAAGTACTTGATTGTCAGGCCCAGAATGCTTACAGATCGCCGTCATTTATCTAGATTACTGACACAGCGATAAAAAAAATAACAAGCAAAAGGAATAAGAATTGTTCAGACAGTAACAGGGTTATATTTATGTGAAAACACGCTTACAAAAGACGATTTATTACAAGCATATACTTACAAAACAGAAACATCGAATATTTCTAACTGGTGTGCAGCAGGACTTTATTGTTCTGATTGATGGAGATGTAGAATAAGATGTTAACGTTTATCCTAATTTCTGACTGATATTGTGTGACTGTGACGCAAGTTTTCTATTATTCCAGACTCTGCAGTTCCAGTTTCTGATTCAGTTTCTGATGGACTTTCTTCTGGAGCTGTTGCTGGCGTTGTTGTAGGTAGATGACTGAGTTTTCATATCACAACTTTGTATCCTCCCATAAAATATCTTTTCTAAACAAATCAAACCTGCTACATACGCAGTTAAACGCCTCCATAATGTGCTATTTTTCTGTTTTGTCAAGGAACGTTGTTGCTGCTAGCTTTGATACTGGTTGTTGTGGGCCTGATTCTGTTCCACCTTGGGCTATTGGCTGGAATCTTCGGGCGTCGGAACAATTACAGAGAACAACCCCATGTTGTGACCTCAGGGCAAACGGCGGGCTTCAATCGGAACAACCGTAGAAGTAGATGGGCATTTGACGTACGATTTAGTATTAGACATACACCATTGCACTACGTTCATTTGGAGATGTGAATGTATTCTACCAATGAACCTTGGATATGTTTACAGATGAATAATTATTACAAAATATCCAAAAAAATATCTGATCAATTTCAGTTTAGACATTTCGAGGAGAAACCAGATCCAATCTGTATTCTATAACTTGAATAATGGATTTATACAACACTACATTTATGCTACAGATTACAACATACACAAAGGACGACGGCATCTACATCAACGGCAGCATGGACCTAGGGGAACCGTGGTACGTCCCTCCAGAGGACATAACCCTGTCAGAGGTCATCACAGCTGGCAAGTTTGCCACGATCTACAAGGCCAAATGGATGGAAACGCCCAAGAACGTCAAACAAGTTGTGGCTAAGGTTCTGAAAGGTAAACGTACAAAACACCTTCTAAAATATGTCATATATTTTTTATACTTTGTTAGTATTGCTGGTTACGTCGATCTCTATTTCCTCAGTGCGGGAGAGTCAGGACGACATCCTTTTGATGCTGGCGAAGATCAACTTTGCTGCAACTAAGCTGGGCAAACACAAGAACCTGTTGGGCTTCCTGGGAGCTGTCATGGAGAACGAGGCGTGTGAGTTGAAATTATCATCACCATTCCAAATAGAATAACGTTACTTTTGTTCGTTTACTCCAAGTGATCCATTTTGATTCATGGCATGAACCTAGCTTCCAGTCTGTTTTGGAAAGACCCCAGCAATATATTCCCTTAAGAGAGCATAGGGATGTTTGTGTATTGTTTGCATGGCATGAACCTTGCGACCTGAAACAATTTAAGAAGACCTCAGCACTGTGTGTGTTCAATATGCCCTAACCAGAACATAAAAATTTGGTTCATTATTCTTCTTTCTGTGGTTTCTGTCAGTGGGTCCCGTGATGGTGCTGGAGTACTGTGAGATTGGCCAGCTGGACAAGTGGCTGACCAAGCAAAGATTAAACATCAGCGACGACACCCTCGACAGGATTCAGAACTTTGCCCTGGAGATCGCGCGTGCCATGGAGTACCTGGCGTCCAAAAAGGTCACTTATCGATTAAGAAGTAGGAAATAGTAGGTAGTAGGAAATGTGCAAAACTGTAGGTTTAATGCATTCCAACCTGTCCTGGGTTTGATCCAGTGGTATTGTAGAGGCTTAAAACTATTTGGATGAAATACGGTTACTGATTCAAGATGTTAAACTGTCTGCCTTTTCCCTCAAGAAACTTACATTAAATGCACTGTATGAAATATGATCAATTTGACATCCGCCATTGCAGTACCTTTTCTCGTCCGGCATTAAAGTTACAGGAGGCAGTACATTCTTCACTGTCCTGTACCACCTAACACCGACATTAAAACATCTGCTGTCCGAATGACTTTGAACATGGTATTCACAAAAGGATCCATAATTACTTCTAGATGGTATTCCGGTCAAGGTAGTAGAATAGACCAAGTTCCTTGCACCGTTACTTAACATTCTTACCACGCATAAAATTTAAACGCGCGATACGTGACATCAAATTTCAAGCAAAGTGCTTTTCTACATCTTTATTTATTGTAATTTTATAACTTTTCAAATACATTTTATTTAGGGTCAGTTACTTGTTTCCGTTAATATATGTTAAGCATAAAAAATATTCGAAACAATTCTTCATCTTTTCACGATCATTGTCTTGCCTTCAGTTCCTTCAATCTGGTCAATATGACATCGTCATTTGCTGGTTCCCATGTCACATAGGCACAAACCATTATCAGAAACCATTATGTTCCCTGCTAATCCCTTATAGTGATTTCTAAAGATACTTAAGACATTTTGTTAAAAAAGATGGGACACTCTGGTAGGAAGAAATGAACCACATTAATTGAAACCAAAAATCGTTCACACCTATTTGGTCATTGTACGACGATGTCATATTGGCCACGGTTGGTTAAATCATAACTCTACTTAAAGCAGATTGGGAAGGACCTACTGTGTGTATGTCTCATGATGACGTCTTTACCACCAAGCATATTTTGCTTGATTGTCTGGACAATTCACTTAGCCTATAATATGAAATATCTGTTTACCTGCGTGAGTGGGCGTCTCATTATTAACTACTTGAGAGAAATTAGTATGTAAATTGTAACTGTGTATGTATATGATAAATGGCATGATATTTTCTTAAAATTTGAGGTGATTGTGTTTTTAAATTGTAAATAATCTTAAATGATGAAAATGTATATATGAACAAAATCTGTTGAACTTTGTACTTCAAATGAACTTGACGTGCGTACATGTGTAGAGTGGTTTGTCTATATGGCTAAATCTATGTCAAGGCGACATAAACGTACAACTCACCCACACCACTCTCATCCGTGGATTCGAAATGAGGAGGGTAGATAGCAGGACTCCTGGTTAGAAGGCACCAATGAATGCCGTCAGATGTGATCAAATGGATCTGATAAACAGTGAGTGAGTATGGTTTAAGTACTATTCCAGCAATATCACGGCGGGAGACAACGGAAATGGTTGATGAACAGGCTCGGACACCTGGTTGTTATCAAATCATCGAATCCAGATCGGATGGTTCGACGTTCATGACGTCCATCATCTGGGTCGAATATTTACCAATTGTAGATTTCCTAGATTTAACAATCGTGGCGTTTCTTCAGATCGTTCACCACAAACTGGCTGCAAGGAACTGTTTGCTGACCAACCTACTGGCGATCAAGGTGTCTGGGTGTGGCCCGATTAAGGCTGATGAATCTGCTGATGACGTCAAAGAAGTAAGTGTGCAACCTGTCTCATCCTGATCAACACAGTCCCAGCAACTCATTGATATCAGATAAATACTTTCTTTTATTAACTAGTCAGAAATATTCATATTTCAAACAAATATGTTGATACAATTATTTCAATACCCCTAAGCTTTTATTATAATAATGTTTGTTTCTGACTTAGGACCGCATCCTCATTAAATGGACAGCCCCCGAGTGCCTCACGTCCTTTAAGGAAGCAAGCGAGAAGAGTGACGTGTGGTCCTATGGCGTGACTGTATGGGAGATCTTCAGTTTGGGTAGGTGCCTGCGCCTGGTTGTGTCCTGAAGGACTCCGGTCGTGTCTGGATATCCGAGAAATGTATCCTAAGCCACACCTGAACCTCAAGCGAAAACAACTGTGTAACGAACACAAACTAATTGTGTGTAGATTTTAAATGTTAGCATTACGATAATTAATGATTTAGGTTTAATTGTCCTGTTGTTACATTGTAAACATGTTTTGGGAATGTATACATGAAAGATAACATTATATGTAAACAGGTCTCGGAATGATTAAACTAAGAACGAAATAAGACTTTGGGTCTTTTCTATCTAATCATGTTCAGGAACTGTGCTGTCGTCTCACATCTTAAAGTCATCCTAATCTCTGCATTCCCGTAATCTAAACGTCTTTAAACATTTTTCAGATTTTCAGTTTAACAAGATTTTAAGTTTCAGTGATGACTGAAATGCAAACATGGTGACTAGGAAACTTGAAACTGGTTACAGTAACAGTCAAATTTTGCTGAAACAAAATAGAGAAAGTTTTTACTTTTACTTACATCTTTAAAAGATAAGGTTCTGCTGCAATAGAGTTCCAAATAGAGAATGTCTCATCAGAATCAGAACACCAACAGGAAGGCGAAACAATATGCATCTGTTATCTAGTTTTTTTGTCTTCCTTAGGTGAGAAACCTTACTCTGACATCAAAGGTCGTGACATCCCAACGAAGGTCAAGGGCGGGCATAGATTGTCAAGGCCAGAGTATGCCGAGGACTTGTAAGTAATCTCACTTTTGTAATTGAACTCTTTATCTATACACATGAGCATAAATTAAGCACCACCTGAATCCAAGGCCATTTTTAAAAGAAAGTTAATTCCACACAGACAACCACCGCCGAGCACGTTGAAGGGCATATGAAAAGCACGTGCTTCACACAATCTCACAGAAGCTATGGGTCGCATGTTCACGTGCTACCAAGGTGCCAAACGCATAGTGGTAAACATTGTGTAATTGCAGAATGTGTACTTAGGTTTTCTGAATGGATTTATATGATGAAAGTATCTTGCAACAACAAGACGCTGACAGAAAGAGGCACGTCGTCCGATCCAGTGTCCCTTCCTCATAGGCAGGAACATCTGACGTAGGTTCACTGGTCTGATGAAAGTCGTTACCTTCGAGTCGACAGGTTTCAGACGACCGTTGTCACGTATGGAGAGGCATATCACCAGGAGGTGGTTTCATGCATCCAAACCCTTTGGTCGTGGCTCAGTGGGGCTGGGTTTTGAATGACTGAAAGATGGATCTTATTACAGTACCTGGGACACTCAGTGTTCAACGTTATCTACAGAAAATACTGGAAACCTCCTCCGTGCCACATGTCGATTGCTATTCAAGTGCCAGTCGTCCGATATTCATGGATGACAACGCTTGCTCGTTCTCGAGCTGTCATTGCCCATTCACAGAACAACGACATCGACACATGTACCATGGCCCGCAATGAACCCAGATATGGACCCCAACTGACCATCTTTGGCAATGGTGAAACTTCGATTTGGTATACAAAATGTTGTGTTTTCGTGCTTTCCATATCATAAAAGATGGGTAATGCTTGATTAACTCTCATGGCACCACTACCAATTATAATATATGTTACGTTTATGTCCGCAAAAGAAATTACGCATGTCAGTATACATTTCTTTGAATGCATAAAAGAGGACTGCAGATATATCGTTAACATTTGCAAATGTCAGAAGTTTCAATAGCGATATTATTAAAGAAAAGTGAAGAACATTCTGTGAGTGACAGAGGCATCATACAAGTTCAGTACTTATTATCAGTCAAGGTAATAAAGAGCAGTCACCGCAATGTCTAACAGCAATTGCAATGTAGAACAACCGTGGTAATTTAGAACAGGCACAACAAATTAGAGCAGTCATGGTAACGTGGAACATTAAAAAAAATAATGCGACGACAGCGATGATGAGGTAAAGCAATGATACTACCTTGAAAAAGACACTTTGGAACAGACATATATAGACCAGTCATTTTCATATAGACCTTGGTTCTCGCGTCAAAGGAGAATATTCTATGTAAAGTTATCTTAATTTGTACTACTTATATCCATGTGTAACAAGCCAGTACTGTAACGTGTAACGGCCATAGAACAACTAACAGTGACAGTAATGTGTAACAGTCGTGATTATTTGGAACACTGATCATTATCTGTATAATTCATAATATAGAATAGTGACCGACATGTAAGCGTCACAGTAATGTAAAGCAGTGTCAGTAATGTAAAGCAGTGTCAGTAATGTGTTATAGTAATAGTAATGTATTGGGGTCGTAAAACTGAAGAACACTCGTAATATGCACTCAGGATTAACAGCGCAATGGTTATGTCTGTTTGTTTTCAGTCACCATCGGCTGATGCAGGAGTGCTGGTTTGAGTCCCCGAGCGAACGTCTCGCCTTCAGCACCATCGTGGGAAGGCTGGAGTCGTCTTTCAGACTGCAACCTGATGGCAGCGATGAACCCCATTACAACGAAATATGAGTTGGCAGGCAAGGTACCTCGTGGTACACACGACACGCGCGCACATACGCACGCAGAAAAAGAGAGAAGCTAGCGCACAATTAGATTGTATTTTTCTAGTTCCTGTTTGCCATTCTCAGTATGGATGAAAGATTTAAGTATCTTCAACTGATCTTTCCACAAATACAATACATACACACTCAAATGTTATAATGCCAGACCATTAAAGAATAGCATCCTGTCATGCTTCACAAAGATTAGACATGTCATTCAGTATTGTGAAGAAAAGTCGCCATAATTTGAAATGAATAGTCCAACTGGGAGTCCGTTAAGTGCGTACTGTCGTTTCGAAAGAGGTGTTGACTTTGTTTGGTTTCGTACGTTTTGGGGGCGCTTCGTAAGTTTTCTTATGTTAATTTTCATGGAATTCAGAATAAAATTATATTAGTGTTTTACGTCAGTTCTTTTCTTTCTTCCAAAGGTAAAGATTATATATGAGGTACTATGAGGACATCACTGGTTAAATGTTGGCTAGTGTTGTATTGTGGGGACCTCTCTGGGCAAGGCTAAGCAAGGCTAAGCCAGTGTTGTATTCTGGGGACCTCATCGGCAAAGGCTAAGCCAGTGTTGTATTGCGGGGACCTCACTGGTCAAGACTAAGCTAGTGTTGTACTGTGGGGTCCTCTCTGGTCAAGAGTAAGCCGGTGTTGTACCCTGGGGATCTCACTGGTCAAGAGTAAGCCGGTGTTGTACTGTGGGTACCTCACTGGTCAAGGATAAGCTAGTGTTGTACTGTGGGGTCCTCACTGGTCAAGAGTAAGCCGGTGTTGTACTGTGGGGACCTCACTGGTGAAGACTAAGCTATTGTTGTACTGTGGGGTCCTCACTGGTCAAGGGAAAGCCGGTGTTGTACTGTGGGGACCTCCCTGGTCAAGGATAAGCTAGTGTTGTACTGTGGGGTCCTCTCTGGTCAAGAGTAAGCCAGTGTTGTACCCTGGGGATCTCACTGGTCAAGAGTAAGCCGGTGTTGTACTGTGGGGACCTCACTGGTCAAGGATAAGCTAGTGTTGTACTGTGGGGTCCTCACTGGTCAAGAGTAAGCCGGTGTTGTACTGTGGGGACCTCACTGGTGACGACTAAGCTATTGTTGTACTGTGGGGTCCTCACTGGTCAAGGGAAAGCCGGTGTTGTACTGTGGGTACCTCCCTGGTCAAGGATAAGCTAGTGTTGTACTGTGGGGTCCTCTCTGGTCAAGAGTAAGCCGGTGTTGTACCCTGGGGATCTCACTGGTCAAGAGTAAGCCGGTGTTGTACTGTGGGGACCTCACTGGTCAAGGATAAGCTAGTGTTGTACTGTGGGGTCCTCACTAGTCAAGAGTAAGCCGGTGTTGTACTGTGGGGACCTCACTGGTGAAGACTAAGCTATTGTTGTACTGTGGGGTCCTCACTGGTCAAGGGAAAGCCGGTGTTGTACTGTGGGGACCTCCCTGGTCAAGGATAAGCTAGTGTTGTACTGTGGGGTCCTCACTGGTCAAGAGTAAGCTAGTGTTGTATTGTGGGGACCTCCTTGGTCAAGGATAAGCTAGTGTTGTAATGTGGGGTCCTCACTGGTCAAGAGTAAGCCGGTGTTGTACTTGTGGGGACCTCACTGGTCAAGGATAAGCCAGTGTTGTACTGTGGGGTCCTCACTGGTCAAGAGTAAGCCGGTGTTGTACTGTAGGGACCTCACTGGTCAAGGATAAGCCAGTGTTGTACTGTGGTGTCCTCACTGGTAAAGGGTAAGCCGGTGTTGTATTGTGGGGACCTCACTGGTCAAGGATAAGCTAGTGTTGTACTGTGTTGACCTCACTGGTCAAGGGTAAGCTAGTGTTGTACTGTAATGACCTCACTGGTAAAGGGTAAGCTAGTGTTGTACTGTGATGACTTCACTGGTCAAGGGTAAGCTAGTGTTGTACTGTGATGACCTCACTGGTCAAGGATAATCTAGTGTTGTACTGTGGGGTCCTCACTGGTAAAGGGTAAGCCAGTGTTGTACTTTGGGGACCTCACTGGTCAAGGATAAGCTAGTGTTGTACTGTGGGGTCCTCACTGGTCAAAGGGTAAGCTAGTGTTGTACTGTGGGGTCCTCACTGGTCAAGGGTAAGCCGATGTTGTACTTTGGGGACCTCACTGGTCAAGGATAAGCTAGTGTTGTACTGTGGGGTCCTCACTGTTAAAGGGTAAGCTAGTGTTGTACTGTGATGACCTCACTGGTCCAGGATAAGCTAGTGTTGTACTTTGGGGTCCTCACTGGTCAAGGATAAGCTAGTGTTGTACTGTGATGACCTCACTGGTAAAGGGTAAGCTAGTGTTGTACTGTTGGGACCACACTTGTCAAAGATTAGCTAGTGTCGAACTAAAGAGATCGCCCTTGCTCAATTTTAAGTTGGTGGGCATCTCAGTTCTCGAGTGGAAGTTTCTACCGTGTAGTGGTTAGGATTACAGGCTTGTGGCGGTGGGGTAGCCCAATGGTTAAAGCGTTGGCTCGTCACGCCGAAGACCCGGGTTCGAATCCCCACATGGGCACAATGTGTGAAGCCCATTTCTGGTGTCCCCCGCCGTGATGTTGCTGGAATATTGCTGAAAGCGGCGAAAAACCAAACTCAGTCAGTCAGTCAGTCATTCAGTATTATGAAGAGCAGGCGATACCACACATATCATCATGTACATGGAAAAGTTAAATTCAAATCAAAATTGATAAGTTTATGAAGGTCACGTAATATTTGATTCTGTTTTTCCCAAAGACACATCAGTTCACCCACAAAGTTTACCTTCAGGATGTCAAATCTGACCCTTTGGTGCAATACTGTCCCAGCTATGGGATACGGACACATGTTTTCTCGTGCTTTTTATATATTTTTCTATTCTAATTCACTATTCGCTTGTACGTAGTGTGTTTCTTTGTTACTATTGTTTGATTTAGCTGAATAAAAAAACTCTATTTTTTTGTCGTTTCATTTATCAGCAGTAGTGATGTTCGATGTACGATAGCTAGTAGGCAAAAATAGCATATTTATTGATGAATAAGAGAGCTCAGAGAGAAACAACAACATTGATGTTGTACATCCAACTGACGTACGGGCGTGCTGTTATGACACATCGTCCTTGTAGGCCAACCGAAGTGTTTCATACTATCCACGTGGGAATTGCCCATATGGTTAATACTATCCATATGAGCGATGTGTTTCATGCTATCAATGTAGACGCTCGTTGATATGGTTCATTCTGAACATAAAGCAGTCGTCGATGTGTTTCAAATTTCCAGGTGGCAATCGCCGGTATGGTTAATACTATCCATATGAGCGATGTGTTTCATGCTATCAATGTAGACGCTCGTTGATATGGTTCATTCTGAACATAAAGCAGTCGTCGATGTGTTTCAAATTTCCAGGTGGCAATCGCCGGTATGGTTAATACGATCCATGTACGAAATATCCGATGTGGTTGATATGTGAGGTGAGGTGAAATGGGGTTTAACGTCGTACTTAAGAATAGTTCACTCATATGACGAATTGCGTGCGTGTGTATATGTATGTGGCTGTTTGTACTAGCCCAGACTTAAACTGGTTTTATAGTGCTAGCTCACTGGGATACCATGCCGTAGTCCGACGAGTCTTTGACGTACCATTAATGCCGATTGCCAGGCGGAGAACAACAAGTACCATAATTCAACGTATGTTGGTATTACGCGGCCGGGGATCGAACCAGCGACCTTCCGCTCTCCAGGTGGACGCTCTAACCACTACACCACGGAGGCGGTTCGATGTGGTTAATACTTTCCAAATCATTATCTGATGCACTTACTTCGTCTGTAGAGGCAATCACCAACGTTCTTCATACTATTCCACAAGCAATGCCCAATGCGGTTCATACTACCAATGTAACAAATGAACGCAGTACAACGTTGACGTTAAGGTACTCAACAAAGCACGTGACACTCAGACTCGTTTTAAATTCAATACAATGGGCGGAGTTACTGTTGTCCTGCTCTGTTCAAGTGCAGGCGGTGGGGTAGTGGTTAGAACGTTGGCTCGTCACGCTGAAACCCGGGCTCGACTCCCCACACGGGTACAATCTGTGAAGACCATTTCTGGTGTCCTCCGTCGTGATATTGCTGGAATATTGCTAAAAGCGGCGTAAAACCATACTCACTAACTGTTCAAGCGATTCGCGCTACCAGACAAATGTGATCAGCTTTCCCACTTTCCACAATGGATTACAGTCTTTCGAAGAGATAAGGGTGCGTTATTTACCTCCTGGATGCCATAGGGCATATATGACCCTCCTCTTTAACCTTCATTTTGAAGTCCATAAAATTCAAAATATACCACACACTCAAATACGCTTCCGGTATCTTGATACCATCCATTATCATATTAGGCTATGGTAATTCAGAAACGTCTCCGATAAACCTCAAATCGGTTTTGGGAAAATATACGAATACGAACGCCGATATTAGCTTTCCGCCATATTGGGTAGTGTTTACAAAAGCATGTTTCGCGAAGGCCGGTCATGAGACGGCTATTACATCACATATATTTTCACACTCAGCTATGACACATTCGTCACTGAATTCCTAATGCATGTCATCAAAACCGAGCGTCTAGATGAATCGAAACGGGTACGAAAACGAACGCTGTGGTCTTGTTTGAAATGGAAATAAGAACTAAGATTTTACATTGGGTGACATTTCCTAAAATTTTCAGACATCCATTCTGTATGCATTTGCTCATACAGTATATGCTTAGAAAGAGTATTGCAGCAAGAAATATGAAATTAAATGTAGACACAACACAGTGATTTGATAACTTCAAACGAAGTTCCATTTAGCCGTGCTGGTAATTATCGACTTCACTGACTTCTTCTCTTAGCACCGAAATCAAAATATTGTTTTCTATAACATACTCAATTTATATTAACAAACATTAGATGACTGGATATCAAACAGTTAATGATTTTTCTGCAAGAATTAAAAAAAATACAGAGAAATTCGATATCCTCCTTTGGTACAGCACTATTCTGATAATTCCGAACAAAAGGGACATTTTGTGTTCAGCTTTCATCGCATAAGTATAAAGAGAATTAGTTACGTAATAATTACCGATGGAAAGGATATATGGAACAGAAGGATATTATCTACACCTTGTTTGCTTGGCCAAGCTGTCTTTTGATGACAGTCAACGAAATGGTCTGTGGTCTAAGGGAGATAACTCCACATAATGTTTTTTAATCATCTGATCAATGGCTCAGTTTGTGCGTGCATGGTGTTAGACTTGTGTACATTTTTCATAGTTTTGTGTTGGGACGACATAACACAAATAGACAGTTTAAGCAAAGAATAATGCACACTCATATATAACATTTGTATAAATTCCAGAATGGGTGCGTGAAGTTAGCTATGGCCGAAATTAAGCCTGTAAACCTATACTTGAAACTAAGGCAATTTTATGCTGAAGCACAGCGAAAAGACATCTCACAAAGGTGTGAAAAATGCCTCCCAATGAAGCTGCCGAGTATCATGGAACTCCGCATTAAACCGTTAGCTCCGCAATAAGTCGTCATATGCGCGACATGGGAAGAGATGTAACATTGTCAGAGACGAACAGTTTAGGCCAGCCAATGCTGTGATTTTATGACCTTTCACTAACATTTTTCAGTTTGAATTTTAGATTATTTTAATCAGGCTGAATTTGTCTCAGGTGCAATTTCTCTCTTCAAAATACACTTGGATTATTCAAAATGATTTTTCAGCCAATGATGGTTAGTCTCTTTGCATTTTGGCAATTCCAAATGACCAATGAATATAGCTGTATATATGCAAATTAGGAGCCACGTGACCATGTGGGTAATCAGAAATAATTATCCCGTTTTCCTTCATAGTTAATGCGGAAATCGAGTTTTCTATACATCTGTAACTTAAACAAATTCTGTGTTTCACTAATCAAAAACGTTAATAAACTTATATACTTTCAATTCAATACAATACTAGAGCATACCTGTACTAGTTAAATGTATACTTTCGAATTGCAGAATCGGAAAATCCATTCCATTTTAGTAACACGCGTTAGCTTATCCTGGAATTTAGCGAATGGCCGACTGTTTTCCTAGAATCGGTTCGAGAGGCGTGGTCGGTAACAGTACCACGATTACTGAGCGCTAAGTGTGTATGTTATACCGTCTTAGAATTTATAATTACCTTCTTTATTTGATCATCTTTAAAGTTAAACTTTCGTCAATTGTACGGGATACCTAAGGCTTGGCCAAGTCAACTGCTTGTTCTCTATTCTTCAGTCATTTAGTCAGCTTCTTTGTTGTGCAACATGTTGGCACTGTTGTAATATTTCAAAACGAGATTAGCCTGCTCTAATTGACATATCTTTACAAATTCTTACGCTTACACCAAATACCACAATCGAAGTAGTAAAGGTATCATTACGTCTAATGCTCCTGCATATAGTTCTGTGATCCGATGTTCCTTACACAGACTGTTCTCAGTATTATAAAAAATATCACTAACTGTATGGATTTGGTAACAATAAATATTGCTGCTTTTCTAGATCGCACATTATCCAGGTAAGTTTCCTAATATGACTTTGTGCTAGAATTTACATCGTCGAATAGAAAATAAATATTGGAGATATCTGTGTTATATTACATTCGTAGGTAGAATTGATGCCGTCGAATAGGAAATAAATATTCTAGATAACTGTGCAATATTATAGTCGTAGGTAGACTTTACGCCGTCGAATAGGAAATAAATATTCTAGATATCTGTGTAATATTACAGTCGTAGGTAGAATTTACGCCGTCGAATAGGAAATAAAAGTTCTAGATACCTGTGTAATATTATAGTCGTAGGTAGAATTTACGCCGTCGAATAGGAAATAAATATTCTAGATACCTGTGTAATTTTATTGTAGTAGGTAGATGCAGTGCCGTGCTAACTCCATTCTCATACAACGTTTACTTTGTGATTTTATGAAAATGTGCGTCAGAAGATAACACACTCAGTATCCAGAGGGTTAATGTGCCTTTGACAGCGACCTGTATACGACACCGATATACATTTGTGTGAATCAATAGGAGGAAGTCATTTTATTGTCCAAGCTAATGTCAAAGTTACGAAAACTGATAAAAGTTTAAGCACATTTTTAATTTGAAACACATCTTGGAAAACGTCTTGGAGATTATAACTACCTACATTTGTGACAGGCAGTTCGTATGTAGAGAGTATGTAGAGAGTATTGGGCAAAATATCGAAACTTTTAATCTTCGCATCACTCCTCATAAAGGGGCGGCACCCGTGAAGAGCCACC